TGGTGTTGGGTTGGTGTTAGTGTTGGGTTAGTGTTGGGTTGGGTTGGTGTTGGGTTAGTGTTAGGTTTAGGTTAGTGTTGGGTTAGTGTTAGGTTAGTGTTAGGTTAGTGTTAGGTTAGTGTTAGGTTAGGTTAGTGTTAGGTTAGGTTAGTGTTAGATCAGTGTTAGGTTAGGTTAATAAATAACTCATAATTATACACAACCTGAATATAAGTAATTAAACCCCCTAATTACCCTCATTAATTACTCTGACGTCAAGATTACTTCGGCAGGCGTCCATAATCCTCAGCGCCAGTATGGTCTTTACGGTAGGCGGTGGTGATGGGCGTGGCTCGGAGAAAACAACGCTCCTGATTGGTCGGATTATTGTTGGTATTGGTATAGGTAAGGAGGTGTATTGTGTGTGTGTGTGTGTGTGTGTGTGTGTGTGTGTGTGTGTGTGTGTGTGTGTGTGTGTGTGTGTGTGTGTGTGTGTGTGTGTGTGTGTTGTGTGTGTGTGTGTGTGTGTACTATGCTTCCATCACCAGGGTTCGCATCCATGGCAGTCCCCGTGTACCTAAGCGAGTCAGCACCAGTTGAGTTACGAGGCCGTCTGACAGTTACCAACACTCTGTTCATCACTGGTGGCCAAACAGTAGCTGGGATAGTGTGTGGCTCGTTTGCTACCACCAGCCATGGATGGAGGTGAGGGATAGGTGGTGTCTATCCTCTAACCTAACCTAACCTAAACCAAACCTAACCTAACTACATATTCTGACCCCACAGGTATATGCTGGGCCTCAGGGTTGCCGTCAGTGATCCAATTGGCTGGTTTTACGTTTCTGCCCGAAAGCCCTCGTTGGTTGGTTGCCCGAGGAAGGTTGGTTATAATCTGGTATTTTATTTCATTTTGGTTACTGTGAATGAAGTCTTTGGTTAGCCCAGGGGAAAGACTTGGTTATTGTTTGAATATGGGCATCTATATGTATGTTGTATCGTGAATGACAGTCGTTTGATGTATTACAATCGTCACTACTACCCATCACACTACTGTACAGGGGGACCTCGCTGTATTACAATCACTACTACCCATCACACTCTGACAGGGGACCTCGGTGTATTACAATCGTCACTACTACCCATCACTACTGTACAGGGGGACCTCGCTGTATTACAATCGTCACTACTACCCATCACACTACTGTACAGGGGACCTCGCTGTATTACAATCGTCACTACTACCCATCACACTACTGTACAGGGGGACCTCGGTGTATTACAATCGTCACTACTACCCATCACACTACTGTACAGGGGGACCTCGCTGTATTACAATCGTCACTACTACCCATCACACTACTGTACAGGGGGACCTCGGTGTATTACAATCGTCACTACTACCCATCACACTACTGTACAGGGGGACCTCGCTGTATTACAATCGTCACTATTACAATCGTCACTACTACCCATCACACTACTGTACAGGGGGACCTCGCTGTATTACAATCGTCACTACTACCCATCACACTACTGTACAGGGGGACCTCGGTGTATTACAATCGTCACTACTACCCATCACACTACTGTACAGGGGGACCTCGGTGTATTACAATCGTCACTACTACCCATCACACTACTGTACAGGGGGACCTCGGTGTATTACAATCGTCACTACTACCCATCACACTACTGTACAGGGGGACCTCACTTATCGTCGGGGTTACGCTCCTCAAAACACGACGTCATACGAAACAATGTTGAGTGGATCAATTTTATCTTAAGAATTAGATAAAATACTGGAGTTATGTTGCCCAACTTCTCTTTGATCCATGGGCAAGGACGTCTTGAGGGCCAAGAGTAGCAGAATGAGCAACAAGCATTTTGAGATGGTAGGATTCTTGTGAGGAACAAATGAATAATTAAAATATAATATAAATCATATAAACGATTAAAAATGAATGAAGATGTGTTTATTGTGCAGATGTTACTCCCATACACCATACACGGGAGAATACGCATTTCGGGGCTGCATTTGTACGTCACTGAAAACTCGTTGAAGCTGACGGCATCAAATTTCTCGGCCGTTCACGCTGGCGACGCCACTTTTTTTCATTGACGCGTACAACAACTCCTTCTATATAAAATAATGCTCACTTATACAACTACTAAGTTTGTAATGGTACTCACTGATGGGTGGAGGTGGTGGAGCGAGTGTGTGGTGGGTAGTGGAGGAGGCGGGCAGGAGCAGAGGAGGAGGGTGGCGACTCACTGAGACTGAGCCGAGCGAGGGAGCATAGCATGGCTAGACGACACAGGGTGATGCACGGTAAAATGTAGTCCGTGACGACGCAAAACGACGTAGTACCGGATCACCGGGACGTTAAACGAATCTTTGGTCTCTAAAGTTCTGCGTCAAACGGGACGACGTTAAGCGAGGACTTACCGTAATTATCGAAAAATTATTAATTATTTTCATTTTCGTAACAGAATATTGCCATTTATATTTTTGTTTCACCCTGCATACAGTTATTAAAATATTAATGAATATTTTCTTTTTGTACTGTACTGTACAGGATAACAGAGGCCCACAGTGTACTACAGAAAATCAGGCCACAACACTCTGACATTGACCTGGAGTTGGAAGCAATCAAAACAGCCGTCACGGAAAATTCTCATGAGGTAAACCTAACACTAACCTGACCTGACTTAACACTAACCTAACACTAACCTGACCTAACACTAACCTAACCTGACTTAACACTAACCTAACACTAACCTGACCTAACACTAACCTAACACTAATCTAACCCAACCTAACAATAACCTAACCTAACCCACTACATAAGAACATAACAACATAAGAATGGAAGAAACTGCAGCCGGCCTATTGACCCATACTGGGCAGTCCCATTTACACCCAACCTCTATGAGCATCCAACCTATGTTTGAAGCTATTCAGCGTATTCAAGTTAATGATGATATTTGGTAACTTGTTCCATTCATCCACTACTCTGTTACCAAACCAATGTTTACCTATTTCGCGCCTAAGTCTAAATTCCTTATCTCAGTCTTAACCCTACTGGCCAATACCTCATAATAATCTCAGAGGTAAATTTCACCACGATTTATTCTCCTACCTATAGCCTTCCTTTGTCCAATAATATTCTTTAAATAATTATTCATCCATTTAGGGTCATTGTTGTCTGATCTGAGTTTTCTGTATGGTATGTTCTGCCTTTGTGCATTAAGTAACTCATTATTTAAATTGTCGTGGAAATCAGCAACTACTATAACATTGAACTCTATGTAAATAATAACAAAAATTCCCTCACCTCACAGGGTGGAATCAGTCAAGTCCTGAGGTCGCGTCCTGTCCGTCGAGCGCTTGTGTTGGGTTGCCTACTTCAGCTCTTTCAACAGCTCTCTGGCATCAATACTGTCATGTGAGTAGAGGTTAGGTTAGGTTAAGTTAGTGTTAAGTTAGGTTAAGTTAGTGTTAGGTTAGTGTTAGGTTAGGTTAAGTTAGTGTTAGGTTAGTGTTAGGTTAGGTTAAGTTAGTGTTAGGTTAGTGTTAGGTTAGGTTAAGTTAGTGTTAGGTTAGGTTAATTATAATACAATTAGACATAAAATTATCAAGAATTATTACTGTAATTTCTTCCACTTATGACAGATTGAATATAACTTAGACAGGGCCTCACTAACTGTCTCTTACTGACTGTCTCTCACTAACTAACTCCTCCCTGTCTCTCACTGTCTCCCAGGTACTACAGTGCGTCAATAATCACCATGGCAGGAGTCTCGGACGAGGCGACGGCCATCTGGTTAGCTGCTGCCACATCAACCATGAATTTCCTCGGCACGTTTATTGGTCTGTGGCTTGTTGAACGCGTGGGCCGACGACCTCTCATCCTGGGGTCACTGTTGGGGGTCATAGGGTCATTATTTCTTCTGGGTATGAGTTTTCAAATGGCATATACCCACAGTCCAGGGGTACAGATGCCCGGCCATGATATAGAATGCCAGGTTGATACGTAAGTTGTGTGATACTGTATTGGGTGTTCTTGAGTAGTATCCCCTCTCCCCCTCCCTTCCTGCTTCCTGAGACACTGTGAGTTGGAGGGAGGGAGGAATATACATAATTCTCTGTATATGTATATAAATTAATCCAAAACTAATATACATCACCAAGTATATATCCCATAATGTGTATATCCCTATGTATATATATATCCAACAGGTGTGGTATTTGTACGAGCCTAAGTGCATGCGGATTCTGTTTTCATGGTGAAGTGGATGATGTCAACAATTCAAGTTGTGTGGCGGCTAATCACTCGACTTACGACCAGGTACGGATGATTCTCTTTGGGGTTAGGTTAGGTTTGGTGGGGGGTGTGCTTAGGGTGGGTTAAGTTAGGTTAGGTTAGGTTTGGTGGGGGGTGTGCTTAGGGTGGGTTAAGTTAGGTTAAGTTAAGTTAGGTTAGGTTTGGTGAGGGGGTGTGCTTAGCGTGGGTTAAGTTAGGTTAGATTAAGTGCTTTAGTTTAACCTAACCCTCATGTACCTTAACCTGACCACTAGAGTACTCTCACTTAGTACATAATTACCCATTACCTTATCACCCCTAGATGAGTACGTCAGGACTCTGCTCTAATTCGACATTATTGGACTCTGGAGAAATAACATTCGCTTATGACTGGTGTCCCTATGAGTACGCCTGGATGTCTGTACTCGTATTAGGACTCTATTTATTGTTCTTTTCCCCTGGTGAGTATTTATGGAATTATTGTTTATTTGATATTATTTTATTTTCATTTGTTTTAATTTTTATTATACATGGTGACCTGTAAACCTGTGTTCTCTATAAACTTCAATTGTAATTTAACTAAAATGACATAAAAATGGATTAACCTAACATACAACTTTATATATGTATGTATGTACGTATTTATGTATTTATGTAGGTATTTATGTAGGTATTTATGTAGGTATGGGCCCAATGCCATGGACTCTGAACAGTGAAATCTTCCCTGGTTGGGCGCGAGCGACTTGTACAAGCTTAACTACCTCAGTCAATTGGGCGTCGAACTTACTGGTGTCGTTAACCTTCCTCACCCTGACTGAAATCCTCCTGAAATACGGTAACGAGGTGGTTTGGTAGTTAGTGACATATAAGTAGTTTAGTGGTAAGTGATTGAATCTACAACCAGTGATATATAAGAGGTATTTTCTCTGTGTCTGTATTATGTAATGTACTTTCTAAATACTGTAATGTACTTTCTAAATTCTGTAATGTACTGTATTTTTTTCTAGGTGCATTTTATTTCTACATGGGTCTGGCAACATTGGGTTTGGTAACATTGTACACATTGTTACCAGAAACAAGAGGCGTCCCATTGGAAGAAATTGAATCACTATTTTCTGGTCCCCTCTTAGCTGGACTCAAGAGGAGGAGGTGAGGGTAGGTTAGGTTAGGGTAGATTAGGGTAGGGTAGGCTAGATTAATGTTGAAAAGGTTAGATTAGGTTAGATTAGGGTAGATTAGGTTAGATTAGGGTAGATTAGGGTAGGGTAGGCTAGATTAATGTTGGAAAGGTTAGGTTAGGTTAGATTAGGGTAGATTAGGGTAGGTTAGGGTAGATTAATGTTGGAAAGGTTAGGTTAGGTTAGATTAGGGTAGATTAGGGTAGGGTAGGCTAGATTAATGTTGGAAAGGTTAGGTTAGGTTAGATTAGGGTAGATTAGGGTAGGTTAGGGTAGATTAATGTTGGAAAGGTTAGGTTAGGTTAGATTAGGGTAGATTAGGGTAGGGTAGGCTAGATTAATGTTGGAAAGGTTAGGTTAGGTTAGATTAGGGTAGATTAGGGTAGGTTAGGGTAGATTAATGTTGGAAAGGTTAGGTTAGGTTAGATTAGGGTAGATTAGGGTAGGGTAGGCTAGATTAATGTTGGAAAGGTTAGGTTAGGTTAGATTAGGGTAGATTAGGGTAGGTTAGGGTAGATTAATGTTGGAAAGGTTAGGTTAGGTTAGATTAGGGTAGATTAGGGTAGGGTAGGCTAGATTAATGTTGGAAAGGTTAGGTTAGGTTAGATTAGGGTAGATTAGGGTAGGTTAGGGTAGATTAATGTTGGAAAGGTTAGGTTAGGGTATAAGGGGCAGGTCCATGGGGGTGGGGGGTTCTGGACTGCCTCTCCCCATGCATTTTTGAAGTCACTTGTTATTGTATTGTAAAATGTAATTATTGTTAACCTCAGAATATTAATGCCTATGAATATTTTCCTAAAAATTATGTATACTTATAAATATAAATAAAATATACATTGTTTATTTAGTATTTCTAACCTAACACTAACCTAACACTAACCTAACACTAACCTAACACTAATCTAACACTAACCTAACACTAACCTAACCTAACACTAACACTAACCTAACACTAACCTAACACTAACCTAACCTAACCTAACCTAACACTAACCTAACCTAACCTGTCCATTATTATTAGTCTGTTAATGAGAATATCCGCTATTGAGAAGTCCGTTATTGAGAGGGAATTGAAACAAGAAAAAAATAAGTAAATAAATAAAAGGATTGACTACTACTACTATTGCTATTACGACTACTACTACTATTGCTACCACTACTACTACTACTATTGCTATTATTACTACTACTACTATTGCTATTACTACTACTACTACTATTGCTATTATTACTACTACTACTATTGCTATTACTATTACTACTACTATTGCTATTACTACTACTACTACTATTGCTATTACTACTACTACTACTATTGCTATTATTACTACTACTACTATTGCTATTATTACTACTACTATTGCTATTATTACTACTACTACTATTGCTATTACTATTACTACTACTATTGCTATTATTACTACTACTACTATTGCTATTACTACTACTACTACTATTGCTATTATTACTACTACTACTATTACTATTATTACTACTACTACTATTGCTATTATTACTACTACTACTATTGCTATTACTACTACTACTACTATTGCTATTATTACTACTACTACTATTACTATTACTACTACTATTGCTATTATTACTACTACTACTATTGCTATTACTATTACTACTACTATTGCTATTATTACTACTACTACTATTGCTATTACTACTACTACTACTATTACTATTACTACTACTATTGCTATTACTACTACTACTACTATTGCTATTATTACTACTACTACTATTACTATTACTACTACTATTGCTATTATTACTACTACTACTATTGCTATTACTATTACTACTACTATTGCTATTATTACTACTACTACTATTGCTATTATTACTACTACTACTATTACTATTACTACTACTGTTATTACTACTACTACTATTGCTATACTACTACTACTATTGCTACTACTACTGCTATTATTGCTACTGCTATTACTGCTACTACTATTTAACTGTTATTGCTGCTACTACTATTATTACTATTACTACTACTATTGCTATTATTACTACTGCTACTATTACTACTATTACTACTACTATTGCTATTATTACTACTACTACTATTGCTATTACTATTACTACTACTATTGCTATTATTACTACTACTACTATTGCTATTATTACTACTACTACTATTACTATTACTACTACTATTGCTATTATTACTACTACTACTATTGCTATTACTATTACTACTACTATTGCTATTATTACTACTACTACTATTGCTATTATTACTACTACTACTATTACTATTACTACTACTATTGCTATTATTACTACTACTACTATTGCTATTACTACTACTAATACTATTGCTATTATACTATTAATCTCTGTAATCCCAAACTATTATTTAGATAGTTACACAATAGTCTAATTATAGCCCTGTTGTGCCTGGCAGGTGATTGGTTGAGGAGGATTATGAGGTAGGATCACACCTCCGTCTCCACCAATCACGTGATAGAATTTACCTGTTTGGAAGGGCTTCACTATATGCCATATATAACAACTAAAGAAAGTATTTATATTTATCATTCGGTTTAAATTTAATAAAATAAAGAGTAATTATATTATCTATTTTTTTTGAGTTATTAAAGATTATATTATTTATTTATAAAGGAAATATAAGAAATAAGATTAAGTTATGAAGAGTATGTGGCACCACCGCAATATTCATAACAAGGTCACTACAGCATGCCAAATTATACCCAAATAAATAAACAAATGACCCAATACCACTCAATTTACATATAAAATAAGTAAATACTATAAATATAAAATAAACATAACATAATTTAAAGATAATATAATAATATATAAACGATATATATGAAAATTATTTAATACTAAGGATTATGTGGCAACGTCGCAGCACCCACCACAACAGCACCCTGGACAAACAGCAGACGATCACTCTCTCACCAGCTGGCCTACGAGGAGGTCATCATGGCTACAGCTCGACTCTTACACTCATTTAAGGTAAAAAATATACCCATTAATCACCCTTAATGATGTACTATATACGTTTAATATATCCTAATTAACTTTATATAGCTCCGGGTATATATAGTCTGGTATAAGTCTAGACAGTGTAGGTATACTGTGTACCTAGACAGTGTAGGTATACAGTGTACCTAGACAGTGTAGGTATACAGTGTACCTAGACAGTGTAGGTATACAGTGTACCTAGACAGTGTAGGTATACAGTGTACCCAGACAGTGTAGGTATACAGTGTACCTAGACAGTGTAGGTATACAGTGTACCTAGACAGTGTAGGTATACAGTGTACCTAGACAGTGGTATACAGTATACTCTGTGACAGTGTAGGCATATAGTAACCCAGACAGTGTAGGCATACAGTGTACTTAGACAGGTATACAGTAGCCTAGACAGTAGGTATACTTAGACAGTGTGTAGGTATACAGGTAATTTCAGACAGTGTAGGGTATACAGTACCCAGACAGTAGGTATACAGTGTACTGAGATAGTGTAGGTATACAGTGTACCTAGACAGTGTAGGTATACAGTGTACCTAGACAGTGTAGGTATACAGTGTACCTAGACAGTGTAGGTATATAGTGTACCTAGACAGTGTAGGTATACAGTGCACCTAGACAGTGTAGGTATATAGTGTACCTAGACAGTGTAGGTATATAGTGTACCTAGACAGTGTAGGTATACAGTGTACCTAGACAGTGTAGGTATACAGTGTACCTAGACAGTGTAGGTATACAGTGTACCTAGACAGTGTAGGTATACAGTGTACCTAGCCAGTGTAGGTATACAGTGTACCTAGACAGTGTAGGTATATAGTGTACCCAGACAGTGTAGGTATACAGTGTACCTAGACAGTGTAGGTATACAGTGTACCTAGACAGTGTAGGTATACAGTGTTCCTAGACAGTGTAGGTATACAGTGTACCTAGACAGTGTAGGTATACAGTGTACCTAGACAGTGTAGGTATATAGATTATCTAGACAGTGTAGGTATACAGTGTACCTAGACAGTGTAGGTATACAGTGTTCCTAGACAGTGTAGGTATACAGTGTACCTAGACAGTGTAGGTATACAGTGTACCTAGACAGTGTAGGTATATAGTGTACCTAGACAGTGTAGGTATACAGTGTACCCAGACAGTGTAGGTATATAGTGTACCTAGACAGTGTAGGTATACAGTGTACCTAGACAGTGTAGGTATACAGTGTACCTAGACAGTGTAGGTATACAGTGTACCTAGACAGTGTAGGTATACAGTGTACCTAGACAGTGTAGGTATACAGTGTACCTAGACAGTGTAGGTATACAGTGTACCTAGACAGGTATACAGTGTGTAGGTATACAGTGTACCCAGACAGTGTAGGTATACAGTGTACCCAGACAGTGTAGGTATACAGTGTAGGTATGTAGGTATACAGTGTACCCAGACAGTGTAGGTATACAGTGTACCCAGACAGTGTAGGTATACAGACAGTGTAGGTATAGTGTACCCAGACAGTGTAGGTATACAGTGTACCCAGACAGTGTAGGTATACAGTGTACCTAGACAGTGTAGGTATACAGTGTACTCTAGACAGTGTAGGTATACAGTGTACCCAGACAGTGTAGGTATACAGTGTACCCAGACAGTGTAGGTAAGTGTTATGTAATAATGTTATTTACTGAACCAAGACGTGAGAGAGAGAGAGAGGCTTATCACAAATAGTCGTCATATATATTAAATAATGCTAACAGTTAAGTGGTGATGCTGTGTGTGTGTGAATATCTGCATGTGCGTTGTATCCATGTGTGCTTGTGTGCGTTGTATCCATGTGTGTGTGTGTGTGTGTGTATGTATAAGCAGACATCATCAATTTAACCCATTGCATGAGAGGGTATTGTTGTCAAGGGCAAACCACACCATTGTATGCCACACCATCCTAAGCCACACCATCCTATGCCACACCATCCTATGCCACACCCTACCACCACAATAACCACACCACCCTACACCACACCCTACCACATACTATATCAAGTTAAGTTAGAGTATCATTATAAATCTTTAAAAGGGCCTTCGGAAAGCTTAGCTGAATTAAATACAAAATGTTACATAAGCTGGAGGGTTATATAAGCTGGGGGCTAGAGTACCAGCTTTGTAGGACGAATCCCAAAGCTGTTTATATGTTTTTTAAGTAAGCTTTATGGCACACGTGATGATTAGACACCCTAGTTTATAACACCTGAACATTACGGGTGTCTAATGTTCAGGTGTAATAAACTAGGGTGTCTAATCTTCAGGTGTAATAAACTAGGGTGTCTAATGTTCAGGTGATCAATACCTCTTTCAGGAAATTCATTAGCAAAAAAAATCTCTGTGAAGAAATTAAAAAACTCATTTATTTTCACAGGGGGTTCGCGGCCTGAATCTATATAGGCCCTATAGCTCAGCAGCACCTAACACGAAACTGTTAATCAATGGCCAGTTCGTCGAGAGCAAAACCACAGATTTCATCGATGTAAATAATCCGGCAACCAATGAGGTGAGTCGATTATTGTTTTGGGGTTTTTTTTTAGAGTACGATGGTGTGATGTTACTGGGAATTAATTTTTGTACTCTAGGGTATAAGGTTTAATTTGTGGTACTCAAGGGGTTAAATCATTGTATGTACTCAAGGGGTTAAATCATTGTATGTACTCAAGGGGTTAAATCATTGTCCTCAAGGGGTTAAATCATTGTATGTACTCAAGGGGTTAAATCATCATACTCAAGGGGTTAAATCATCATCCTCAAGAGGTTAAATCATCATACTCAAGAGGTTAAATCATCATACTCAAGAGGTTAAATCATCGTACTCAAGGGGTTAAATCATCATACTCAAGGGGTTAAATCATCATACTCAAGGGGTTAAATCATCATACTCAAGAGGTTAAATCATCGTACTCAAGGGGTTAAATCATTATACTCAAGGGGTTAAATCATCATACTCAAGAGGTTAAATCATCATACTCAAGGGGTTAAATCATCATACTCAAGGGGTTAAATCATCATACTCTAGGGGTTAAGTTACGTGGTAGCTAACCTTTTGTGTGATGTAATCTAATTTTTTCCACAGTCACTCTGATACGATTTTCCAGCCATATATTCAACCCTAACCCCCCCCCCCCTTCCTATTGCCATGAAATACACAGATTCGTAGAGAGACACAAGTAATATTGTTATGATATATTGTTAAAATGACAAAATTATGCTCCAACTTTACGAGTGAGATGTTTGGCATTATGAGTTGTCTGCGAGCTTTGTGTAGTTAGGACCGAAGGCCCTGACTGCTAGCCTCAAGCAAGCGTCGGTGTCCCATGTGTGGTACTGTTGATTCACAAAGGCAGGTTGATCCAATATATGCTTTTTACGTCACTAGTCACACGTAACATTTATGAGACCATGGATGATAAATATTGGTACAGTTAACCCTCACTTTACGCGGTTAATGTAACCCGGAGGGTCCCGCGTAAAGTGAGAAACGCGTAAAGTGAATAACATAACATATGGGATTAATTGAAATGGAGTCCGGGCCGATCCCCAAACTCCACTTTTTGACGACACACAACTATGTTGTAGTAAAAATATTATCTTAACTTTACATGGTATGCACAATAATAATTAATAATTAAGAGAAATATCACTACATAGGTTTTTAACACTTGATTAGTGCAGAAAATGGCTGGGGCACACGGGGATGGTTGTTCCCCAGGCAGAGGGCAGATTATTGGTCTCACCTGTATCACTTGTATCAATTGTATCACTATCCACCACAGAGGCCAGGCCTCGTTAAACCCTCAAAGTCCACATAAGTCCATATCCTCACTATAATTATCAATGGGTCACTGACTTGGGCCGGGCTGGTGGTGGGTGGGCGGTGAAGAACTGCAGCTGATGACTGGGCGATCTTAGGCAACACTATGTTCGGCGAGCTACACAAATATGGCGGAGGCGGAGGTCGATCTGAAATGCTGCCCGCCAGCCTCACAGAAGGCTAATTTAATCGAATGTGAGCATCCTGGGTTCCGGCAGGGCACCGCGTAAACGTGGAAACGCGGAATGTGGGACCGCGTAAAGTGAGGGTTAACTGTATATGAGGGCTGTCACTAGTCTCACGTAACATTTATGAGACCATGGACGATAAATTATGGTATATGAGGGCTGTCACTAATCACACGTAACATTTATGAGACCATGGACGATAAATTATGGTATATGAGGGCTGTCACTAATCACACGTAACATTTATGAGACCATGGATGATAAATATTGGTATATGAGGGCTGTCACTAGTCTCACGTAACATTTATGAGACCATGGACGATAAATTATGGTATATGAGGGCTGTCACTAATCACACGTAACATTTATGAGACCATGGATGATAAATATTGGTATATGAGGGCTGTCACTAGTCACACGTAGCATTTATGAGACCATGGACGATAAATATTGGTATATGAGGGCTGTCACTAGTCACACGTAACATTTATGAGACCATGGATGATAAATATTGGTATATGAGGGCTGTCACTAGTCACACGTAACATTTATGAGACCATGGATGATAAATATTGGTATATGAGGGCTGTCACTAGTCTCACGTAACATTTATGAGACCATGGATGATAAATATTGGTATATGAGGGCTGTCACTAGTCACACGTAACATTTATGAGACCATGGATGATAAGACAGTATAGAGGGCTGTCACCATCTCAATGTAAATACTTATGAGACCATGGACTACAAATTGCGGTATATGAGGGTCAGTCAATAATCACACGTAACATTTATGAGACCATGGATGATAAATATTGGTATATGAGGGCTGTCACTAGTCACACGCAACATTTATGAGACCATGGATGATAAATATTGGTATATGAGGGCTGTCACTAGTCACACGTAATTATTTATGAGACCATGGATGATAAATATTGGTATATGAGGGCTGTCACTAGTCACACGCAACATTTATGAGACCATGGATGATAAATATTGGTATATGAGGGCTGTCACTAGTCACACGTAGCATTTCAGAGGAGCGTATCGACCCCACCTGCACGGATAGGAGTTTTACCTACTGTACATGGCACATTTTCTGACATTGGGATATTTTTTCTTCACTGAGAAGGTTCCAGAAACTTCCTCCTGTTGCCATGGATTTGATCTGAATATCATTTTGAAGTTTCAGAATCTCATTATTGACTTCAGATATGTCCATTTTTAAATACTGATTTTGCAACAAGTTTTATTGGTGTTATATCTTGAAACCGTCTGTCAAAATCTGAAGCAAGGTTTGGCATCTGTTCCATATGTCAAACACTGTCAAATTGATCAGTCTTTTCATTGGTTTTCTAGTCCAACTGAATGTGATCAGAAAGTCGATCTTTTGAGGCCAAACCCATTTTTATTTCAGGTAGCAGATCTCTAAACCTCTGGAGAAATTTACCTCTACTTAACACCTGACATCAGTATTCAGCAATAGGTCGGGGTGATCTGGTTAATTATCTCCCAGCTGAGATCGGAACAGCCGTCTCCGAAGACTTCTGACCCGAATTGAACATACAGTACAATCTCTAGGGAAATGTCCACGACTTATTTGATATTTAATATTTTACCACAAAGTTGATGAATGAAGAAGTTAGGAAACCTGTCATGACTCCTGTACCGGGCAGTGAACCCACACAGATTCATTACAGCGCTTCTCACTCACTGCCAACTGTGTACTATAAACAAAATCATCGTCTGAAATATGTCTACACTCCGAGTTTATTTTTCCTTTTAATGGTAGAATTTTCATCAGTTCCTCTTTGGTACTCGTGTCTTTAAACACCATTCTAATGAAAATGCTTAATTGTGATGCATCGACCACATCAGTAAAGTCATCAAATTATAATGAAAAGAACACACTCTCCTGTATGTCTTTATTCAGATGTTTACCCAAATCCTCAGAAATAAATTGACAGCACTCCATGACAGTGTTCCTTGATAACTGATTCTTTAAATTCTCAAACAATGTATCTGGTGTTTTCTAAAAAAGGCCTCTTGGAATATTTCTCCATCTTGAGTGGTTCTTTATGCTCTGTAAGTACACAACTAGTCCTGAATGATGCAGTTGTTCCTTGTTCCTACCTTTGATTTAGAGCTTGGGTTTGTAAAAGACTTTGTTGTGTAGTAAGCTGTATATCAGTTCATGAATTTTAGTAGCTCACTTTTGGAAGGGGAATCATTATCATACTTCTTGTGAAAACTATTGCTATGCCTTTCATAGCCAGAGCTAGAGACCCAAGGCAGATCTGACACACTTCCTCCCATTCATTGAGAAATTGATGAATTTTGGTATTTTTTGAACTTGATCTAGAACACATTTTTGGTTCAGTTGATGACCAATAACCTGTAGAGTCGTCCCTCCGTTAACGAGCACAACTGGTTCCACAGAATCACTCTTTAACTGAATCTATTATTTCTGTGGGATATTGGGTAGGCCTAATTGGATCCAACTCACATAGTTCCCTTAAAATGAATTAAAAAGTACATACAAAGTCCTGTATACCGGTAATAGAATTAACAGTATGTATTTAGGACGGTGTGTGCATGTGAGTGAGTAAAAATAAACAAAGAAAGTTACATATATCTACCTGAAAATACCACTTGAAGAACTTGTATTTATATGTACAGTACTAAAGAACTAAAACATTTATCTCTTGTTCAGTGGCGGCTCGTGGGGGTGCTGCTTCAAAACATTTTTAAGAATTGTTTTAATATTGTGTAAGACAAATACACAGAAGTACAGAAGGTATATATATATATATAATGATAAAAATAATAAAATACTAAAAGTATGGTCAAAAAAAAAAACTTTTAACACTTACAGGTAAAATACTCCAATCTAGCTTGATCCAAATTTATTTAAGAATAAAATCCATTCTTCTTGTTTTCTTTTGAGCGAATAGGTCAACAACTTTCTCATTGATGTTTGGATGACTGTTAAAGAAATTTTTCTCCGTTGAAATCATTGCAAGTGCATTTAGCCTTTCCTGATTCATAGTGCTCCTCAGAAAAGCTTATATTCTTTTTAATGTTGAAAAGCAGCGTTCAGGCTCTGATGTAGTCATAGGAATTGTCAAGAGGATTTTTATCAGTTTCGTAATCTCACTAAGAACACCATCTAAATTATTTTCCAAGATAAATTTCAGCAGGTTAATTAGCCCGCAATATTCATGCATATCGGACCTACTGTAGAATACTCTAAGTTCAGTTTCTAATTTGTCTTTGTCAATCATGGGATATACCTCAGTGGTCAATCCTATCTCTTCTGTAGGCAGTTTATTCTTAAGACTTGTGAAGTTTTTCTTGTTGAATGATTTAGCAGCTACTGATTGTTTAGTGAAAGAATATCTCTCCACTGTATCAACACATAAGCAGTCACATACTTCCTTTGCTTCACCCATGAGCATCTTTGAAGGATTCTCACAGTACTTTGAGTTTCTTATTTCTAAAATAGCAGTTTTGAAATTTGTTATATATTCATGTACTTTAAACACATCAGTTTCTCAAGACTGCATTTGGTTGTAAATTACTTCAACGTGAGGCATGATCTGATGAAAAAGCTCCAACCAGAACATGAATTTTTCTTTATTCAGGTAGTGCAAAATTCCTGTTGCTTCTGAAATGGTTCGATCTGCATTTACCGTCAACTGCATTTCAGCAAGGCAGCTTTTTAAAGGCTGCAAATTATCATGAATTTTGTTCACTGTCTGTATGTTAAAGTTCCACCTTGTAGAGCCTGCAGTGGCGTTTCTAGCCTTCGGAAAGTGGGGGGGCCACTTTGGGGCCAAGGTAAATGTTGAGGGGGGGGGGGCCAAACCTGTGTACAACTTGCAAGATGCAGTTTTTGGCATTATTACACCAATTTGATTGACAAATGTGAAGTGACGTCTCTCATGACGCCAGCCTAAAATAATCAGCATATGGCGGTATAATGGCAACGCTCTTATTCCACTAATCATGATTCATTGAAGTATTAACACACTTGAACATATCTCTAAAACTGTATTATTGCTCCCATAGTCACATAAAGGGCGGGTGTACCACATAACAAACATTGAAAAATATTGCAGTGTCTTTATAATGTATGTACAGTTAACCCTCGCTTTACGCAGTACCCTGCCGAAACCGGAATGCTCACATTCCGCGGTGCGTGTACCCCTTTACGCGGAGAGCGGCTGGCGAGCCGCGCCATTTTTGGATCCAAACCTCCTGCCATCTCTCCCGCCCTCTCCCGCCATCCGCCATGTTGTGTAAGCGGCACGAGCATGGTGCGCACAAAGTCGCCCAGTCATCAAAACATTACTGAGTTCTTCACCCGCCACCCACCACAGCCGGCCCAAGTCAGTGATAGTGATAATGATAGTGAGGATATGGACTTATATGGACTTTGAGGGGTTTGACAAAGAGGCCCTGCAAGCCTCTGTGGTGGATAGTGATACAATTGATACAAGTGATACAGGTGAGGGCCAATAATCTGCCCTCTGCCTCAGAACCAACCCCCCATCCCCGTGTGCCCAGCCATCTTTTCTACTAATGTAAGTGTTAAAAATTAAGAAGTTATTTTTACTACAACGTAGGTATTGTGTCGGAAAAAGTGGAGTTTGGGGGTCGGCCTGGTCTCTATTTCAATTAATCCCATATGTTATGTTATTCACTTTACGCGTTTCTCACTTTCCGCGGTACCCTGTGGGTTGAATTAACCGCGTAAAGTGAGGGTTGACTGTACATACATCAGCGAAAAAATGAATGATCTCACGCTTCACACATAATGGAGACAACGTTTATGTTTTTAATAACAAATTTATCCATATTTGCTTGTGGTAATCCAACCGTTATCTGTAAAAAGACAAAACCTACAAATTAATGATAAATTATTCAAGATAATCGTAGAAATGGTACCATAAGCCCGTAACCTGCGAGGCTGCGACCTATCCGTCGTAGCATAATATAGACGCGTGTTAGCGTGCTTCTCTAGTTAAATATTATTTGCGTCATTATTACAATGAATTATAAATTATGATAACTTCAGTCATTTGCAAATACAGTACTTACTGATCAGTGATCCCTGATCACAGATAGACAATTGCGGAATATGTGTGTAGGCTACCCTATCACTGGTGACTTGGTGAGATGCAACTGACACTCTGTTTCTTATTTTAATGCAATTCTTGTACCTTATTTCATGAATATAGATCATTTTTTAACTATAGGAGTATGGAGTAATATTACAATCAGTCAATCATTCAGTTCAAGTGGCTGTAGTTGAGCTGGACTGTCCTTATACTGTACAGCTCAGCTCCTGTACAGCCACTTGAACTGAATGATTGATTGTAATATTACTCCTATAGTTAAACATTACTCACATGTTCTGTCTAAACAGACCTCACTTAGCAAAACCCACAGTGGCAGACGACATATTTCTCCTGGGTAGTTTCGGCGACAAATTCGACAATTGCTGTCAGTAAATAAAGATTATAAAGTACCTTCTTGGAAAGCTCTATGTCTAAGCCACAAGACAACATATGAAAATTTCAGCTCGAGGTCTGTTTTAAGGGTTTTAGATCCTCCCCCCCCCCCCCAAAAGCGGTTAGCGTTAGTTTCAGCTAATTTTATTAGCTGTTTAGCGGTTTAAATTTTTAGTTAGGAGATTAGCTGTTAGCGAAGGTAACTTATCATTTAGCTGTGCCCACCACTGACTCCACTGTAAACAAAGGAAAGCAATTACTGGCGGACGTGTTTCTGGTAAGGCTGTTGTTGATAATAGAATTTGTACTCGATAATAGAACTGAAAATCCTTACGGGAGCTAATTTGTTAACTGAAATCTCGTAAATTGAACTGCTTGTTAATGGAGAGACCACTGTGCTGGGGGCTCCACTGTACTGTATTGAGAATTACTAACCACAATAAAATAACCTTATAACATTTTTTTATCATAAGCAATTGTCGCCGGGTAGTGTTGACACTTGTACCTACTCTAGGGTTGTGCCGAGAACTGTTGCTGAGGTAAAAATTCGGTAATTCTCTCAATCACCCAAGACAAGAGACGGCTCCTCACACTTCCAAGTATTGACAGATGACTAAAAAACGCTGCATTGCTGGTGACAAATGTGTATTCTCATAGGGAAAGGTTTGCCAAATAATGATTCTCTCTCTTTATTTATGACAAAATTCCTCAACCTCTTCATTACCAAATTCATTCATAAAAGATTTAACGTATATTTGAAATGATAAAACCAAATACTTGTTTAGTTTTAGCCGATAACTGATGACGTGTTAACTCCGGCCAGTATGAATGTGAACATTTCCTATCAGGTTCCACCACACAGAACAATTTCCTATCAGGTTCCACCCCACAGAACAATTTCCTATCAGGTTCCACCACACAGAACAATTTCCTATCAGGTTCCACCACACAGAACACAGTCAATGTTTTTCTGAATGTGTCGTTTTGATGAAATTTATTCCCGAAAAAATTTAAATAAATATAATATCCCAGTGAGTGTCGCAGCTTATGGTCATTGATCTATGACCTGCGATTGACCTGTTGGCCACCCCTGGTTTAAGTCATCGTACTCACGGGGTTAAATCAATGTACTCAAAGGGGGTTGAATTATAACTTTCTTTCTGTACTCAACATTACAACATGACCTTCTGGACTCAAATTACAACCTTTAATGATGTACTCAAATTACAACCTCCTGTACTCAATTACAACCTAGAGTCCAATAACACGGGACTCTAACGTACTCACGACCCCCAAAAATAGTCTAATAAAACAACACTCTAATCGACCTTCCATGACCCCAAACTAACCGTCCACAACATTCCAGGTGGTAACGAGGGTGCCCAAGTCTACACAGGCAGAGATGCCTGGCGGCCGTCGACTCTGCCAAGGAAGCGTTCAAGTCCTGGTCGGAAACGTCGGTCCTAACGAGGCAACAGCTGATGTTTAAGTACCAACAGATTATTAAAGACAATATCGTAAGTTGGGCTTTATTTCACCTGAAGATTAGACACCTTGGTGCTAACCTAACTTAAACTAATGCTAATCTAACTTTGTAGTGTTGGGTTGGTTAATACTGTATTTTACCTGAAGATTAGACACCACCCTAGTTTATTACACCTGAACATTAGACACCCTAGTTTATTTACCTGAACATTAGACACTCTAGTTTATTACATTCCGAACATTAATAGACAATCTAGTTTATTACACCTGAACATTAGACACCCTAGTTTATTACACCTGATGATTAGACACCCTAGTTTATTTTACCAGAAGATTAACCAATTTAGTTTATTTTACTCGAAATATTAGATACTCTAGTTTATTACACTTGAACATTAGATACACCTAAGTTTATTTTACCAGAAGATTAATCCACCTCGAAGTTACACCTGAACATTAGACACCCTTAGTTTATTATTACACCTGAACATTAGACAATTCTAGTTTATTTTACCAGAAGATTAACCACCCTAGTTTATTTTACCTGGAACATTAGACACTCTAGTTTATTACACCTGAACATTAGGACACCCTAGTTTATTTTACCAGAAGATTAACCAATTCTAGTTTATATTACACCTGAACATTAGACACCCTAGTTTATTACATTCGAACATTAGACAATTCTAGTTTATTACACCTTAATATTAGACACCTAGTTTATTTTACCTGAACATTAGACACCTAGTTTGGTTGCACCTGAAACATTAGACACCCTAGTTTATTTTGTATCGGAACATTAGACACCCTAGTTTATTACACCTGAACATTAGACACCCTAGTTTAGTTGTGTAGACCTGAACATTAGACACCCTAGTTTGTCATACACCTGGAACATTAGACACCCTAGTTTATTACACCTGAACATTAGACACCCTAGTTTATTACACCTGGAACATTAGACACCCTAGTTTATTACACCTGAACATTAGACACCCTAGTTTATTACACCTGAACACAGACATCTAAGTTTATTACACCTGAACATTAGACACCCTAGTTTATTACACCTGAACATTAGACACCCTAGTTTATTACACCTGAACATTAGACACCTCTAGTTTATTACACCTGAACATTAGACACCCTAGTTTATTGTATAATTCCTGAACATTAGACACCCTAGTTTATTACACCTGAACATTAGACACCCTATTTATTTTACCAGAAGATTAACCACCTTAGCTTATTACACCTGAACATTAGACAATTTAGTTTATTACACCTGGAACATTAATTCTAGTTTATTACACCTGAAACATTAGACACCCTAGTTTAGCTACACCTGAACATTAGACACCCTAGTTTATTTTACCAGAAGATTAGACACCCTAGTTTATTACACCAGAACATTAGGGACACCCTAGTTTATTACACTTTTGAACATACACCCTAGTTTATTACACCTGAACATTAGACACCCTAGTTTATTACACCTGAACATTAGACACCCTAGTTTATTACACTCGGAACATTAGACACCCTAGTTTATTAAGCACCTGAACATTAGACACCCTAGTTTATTTACCAGAAGATTAGACACCTAGTTTATTACACCTGAACATTAGACACCCTAGTTTATTACACCTGAACATTAGGAGCACTTAGTTTATTAGCACCTGAACATTAGACACCCTAGTTTATTAAGCACCTGAAACATTAGACAGTCTCAGTTTATTACAATTCGAACATTAGACACCCTAGTTTATTACACCTGAACATTAGACACCTAGTTTATTACACCTGAACATTAGACACCTCTAGTTTATTACACCTGAACATTAGACAACCTAGTTTATTACACCTGAACACAGACACCCTAGTTTATTAAGCACCTGAACATTAGACACCCTAGTTTATTAAGACCTGAACATGGACAATTCTAGTTTATTGCCACCTGAACATTAGACACCCTAGTTTATTATAATTCCGAACATTAGACACACCCTAGTTTATTTTACCAGAAGATTAGACAATCTTAGTTTATTACACCTGAACATTAGACAATTCTAGTTTATTACACCTGAACATTAGACACCCTAGTTTATTACACCTTGAACATTAGATAATCTCTAGTTTATTACACCTGAAACATTAGACAATTCTAGTTTATTACACCTGAACATTAGACACCCTAGTTTATTACACCTGAACATTAGACACCCTAGTTTGTCATTACACCTGAACATTAGGACACACCCTAGTTTATTACACCCGAACATTAGACACCCTAGTTTATTACACCTGAACATTAGACAATTCTAGTTTATTACATCTTGAAACATTAGACACCCTAGTTTGCTGCTAACGGAAATATTGTAGGACAATTCTAGTTTATTACACCTGGAAGATTAGACACCCTAGTTTATTACACCTGAACATTAGGGACACCCTCTAGTTTGTTACACCTGAACATTAGACACCCTAGTTTATTTTCATAAATTCGAACATTAGACACCCTAGTTTATTACACCTGAAGATTAGACACCCTAGTTTATTAATATACACCTGGAACATTAGACACCCTAGTTTATTACACCTGAACATTAGACACCCTAGTTTATTACACCTGAACATTAGACACCCTAGTTTATTACACCTGAAATATTAGACACCCTAGTTTATTACACCTGAACATTAGACACCCTAGTTTATTACACCTGAACATTAGACACACCCTAGTTTATTACACCTGAACATTAGACACCCTAGTTTATTACACCTGAACATTAGACACCCTATTTATTACACCTGAACATTAGACACCCTAGTTTATTACACCTGAACATTAGACAATTCTAAGTTTATTACACCTGAACACAGACACCCTAGTTTATTACACCTGAAACATTAGGACAATTCTAGTTTATTACACCTGAACATTAGACACCCTAGTTTATTACACCTGGTATTAGCCAATTCTAGTTTATTACACCTGGAACATTAGACACCCTAGTTTATTACACCTGAACATTAGGAAGCCACCCTAGTTTATTACACCTGAAACATTAGACACCCTAGTTTATTACACCTGAAACATTAGACAATCTCTAGTTTATTACACCTGAACATTAGACACCCTAGTTTATATTACACCTGAACATTAGACACCCTAGTTTATTACACCTGAACATTAGGACACCCTAGTTTATTACACCTGAAGATTAGACACCCTAGTTTATTACACCTGAACATTAGACACCCTAGTTTATTACACCCGAACATTAGACACCTAGCGTTTATTACACCTGAACATTAGACACCCTAGTTTATTACACCTGAACATTAGACACCCTAGTTTATTACACCTGAACATTAGACACCCTAGTTTATTTGTATTTCAGAAGATTAACCACCCTAGTTTATTTACCTGATGATTAGACACCCTAGTTTATTTTACCTGATGATTATTAGACACCCTAGTTTATTACACCTGAACATTAGACACCCTAGTTTATTGCTAATTTGAAACATTAGACACCCTAGTTTATTATTACACCTGAACATTAGACAATCTTCTAGTTTATTGGCTAATTCCGAAACATTAGACAATCTTAGTTTATTACACCTGGAACATTAGACACCCTAGTTTATTACACCTGAACATTAGACACCCTTTGAAGTTTATTACAGTTCTGAAATATTAGACACCCTAGTTTATTACACTCTGAACATTAGACACCCTAGTTTATTACACCTGAAACATTAGACACCCTAGTTTATTACACCTGAACATTACACCCCTAGTTTATTACACCTGAACATTAGACAATTCTAGTTTATTACACCTGAACATTAGACACCCTAGTTTATTACACCTGAACATTAGACACCCTAGTTTATTACACCTGAACATTAGACACCCTAGTTTATTACACCTGAACATTAGACACCCTAGTTTATTATTCCTGAACATTAGACACCCTAGTTTATTACACTATGGGGGGTGGCAGTGCTATCAATAAGTTAGGTTAGTACAGTATTAATATTTTATTCAGCTCAGAGGTGACCCCATAAATGCTAACGAACGTATTTAACGATGCTTTAAACTTGACAGCACGACCTAGCGAAGGCGACATACCAACAAGGCAAGACGCTTGTTGACGCCGAGGGTGACGTCATGAGAGGGCTCCGTAAGTCACTTTTTCCGAGGGTTTATTTTTCCGTTGGATATATTTACCTTTAGTGGTGTATTAATTGTAGTAAGTTTAAATTACTTGAGGTATATGAACCTAATCTAATCTAATCTAACCTAACCAAACCTAACATAACCTAACCCAACCCAACCTATCCCACTACTCAACCAATCAACTCTCACTATATACCCCATACCAGAGGTGGTTGAGCACTGCTGCAGCATCACCAGCCTGCAGCTCGGGAGATTATGCCAAGAATCGCACGAGACATGGATGCCCACTCATTCCGCGAGCCGCCGTGGTGTGTGTGCGGGCATCGCTCCGTTTAACTTTCCTGCCATGATTCCGCTCTGGGTACGTTCGCTTGGTTTGGTTTAGTTTGTCCATGTGCTGCTTGGTTTGTTTGCTAGTGTATGTCGTTGGTGTGTGTGTGTGTGTTTCGAATTTATCGCACTTTGGGGTATTTTGTTAGGAATTTCTCCAGTAAATTTCTATATTAAAACGTACTTGAGAAAGCTGTATGTATGTATGCATATATGTATGTATGTATGTATGTATGTATGTACTATGTATGTATGTATGTATGTACGTAAAACAGCTAAATATCAGCAAAAAATTATAACATCAGAGGTTATAATTTTAGGCCTTATTTGTGAAGCTATATTTAACACAATTACCAAGTTAGCTTTTGTTAATATGAGCTAAGTATATAAGATCATAGACCATATTGTTAATAATGTTAATAAAGTTTTATTTAACGTATTGTAACATAATTATTCAAGTGTGATTATTGGTTAAAATTATTGTACATATTTAACCCTGATAATTCCTGCTTGATTATGGGCCCAAATTATCACACAAAATGTATTAATATTTACCCATAATAATGCTACGGTAATTTCCTCAGATGTTCCCAGTTGCCTTAGTGTGTGGCAATACCTACGTTTTTAAGCCATCGGAGCGAGTTCCCGGAGCGACTATGATGCTAACGGAAATGCTGATGGATGCCGGATGCCCCAAAGGCGTCGTCAACGCTATCCACGGACAGCACGAAGCCGTCAACTTCATCTGCGATCATCCGGATATCCGTGCCATCTCGTTCGTGGGATCTGATGCAGCGGTGAGGTGTTCTAGCAGCTTATATTACCTGGAGATTAACCTAACAAGCAACCCCTTGAGTATGATGATTTAACCCCTTGAGTATGATGATTTAACCCTTGGAGTATGTTGATTTAACCCCTGAGTATGATGATTTAACCCCTGAGTATGATGATTTAACCCTTGAGTGATTTAACCTGAGTATGTTGATTTAACCCTTGAGTATGATGATTTAACCCCTTGAGTATGATGATTTAACCCCTTGAGTACATACAATGATTTAACCCCTTGAGTACATACAATGATTTAACCCCTTGAGTATGATGATTTAACCCCTTGAGTGCCGTTATATGGGGGTTTCACATCTAACATAACCTCGATATAATGAACTGTACTCATATGGGGGTTTCCCATCTAACTAAAACCTCGATATAATGAACTTTACACTGAAATACTCTTTATATGGACCACAATCTACCACATAATTCGTTTAATAGGGGTCTAACTGGATCACCTCTTCAACAGGGTCGTTACATCTACGAGAAAGGGTCGTTAAACGGCAAACGAGTCCAGTCCAACATGGGAGCCAAGAACCACGGGGTGATTATGCCAGATGCGAACAAGGAGAGTACCCTAACACAGCTGGTTGGGGCAGCATTTGGCGCAGCTGGTCAGAGGTGGGTCAGGGTATGGTTGAGGTGGGTCAGTATGGTTGAGGTGGGTCAGGGCATGGTTGAGGGTCAGGGCATGGTTGAGGTGGGTCAGGGGCATGGTTGAGGTGGGTCAGGGCATGGTTGAGGTGGGTCAGGGCATGGTTGAGGTGGGTCAGGGGATGGTTGAGGTGGGTCAGGGCATGGTTGAGGGTCAGGGGCATGGTGAGGTGGGTCAGGGCATGGTTGAGGTGGGTCAGGGGTATGGTTGAGGTGGGTCAGGGGAGGTTGAGGTGGGTCAGGGTATGGTAGGTTAGTGTTAGGTTAGGTAGGCATTAAGTTAGGTTGAATTATCAGAAATCAACTCTAAATATGTTACTTATCTTAATTTACCTCCCCAGATGTATGGCCCTAAGCACAGCCGTATTCGTCGGGGAAGCCAACAACTGGTTACCGGAACTGGTCGAAAAATCCAAAAAACTCCGCGTGAATGCCGACACACATAGCCAAAGCCGATTTGGGACCCGTGATATCCCCCGAGGCTCAGAACGCATCTGTGGCCTAGTTCAGACCGGCATCGACGAGGGAGCTAATTGTATCCTCGACGGTCGGGATATTGTCGTGCCGGGATATGAGAGAACGGAATTTCGTGGGGCCGACCATTCTCTCTGGGGTTAAGGTCAGAAGCTGTCGATATTAAAAAATAAATATCTTCGTTCTTTAGAGTTTGTTGTCGTGGTATAGAAAACGTCTCGTGGGTGTTGCATTAAATTGTACAGGGTGTTTCATATGTGTATCATAGTGTGGAATGTAGTGCACAACTTATGAGACACCCTGTACAGTATGATGTGTGACCTATGTGACACCCTGTACAGTATATGTAACTTATGAGACACCCTGTACATGACCTACATAACACCCTATACTGTACTTCATGTCAATCACATATGAGACACCCTGTACAATATAACGTGTACTATGACCTATAAAACACACTGTACACCCTATGCTACACTGTCCAGATATTAACGTACACAACTGGACATTATTTACACTAGTTCCCTCTCGACCTTTCAGCCCAATATGACCTGTTACAAGGAGGAGATATTCGGGCCGGTCCTGGTGGCTCTTTCTGTCGACACTCTGGACGGGGTTATCGAGATCATCAACGCTAATAGGTACGGCAACGGGACGGCCATCTTCACTACCAATGGGGCCACGGCCAGGAAATTCACCAACGATATTGATGTCGGTCAAGTGAGTTATTACTAAAGTTGTTAAGTTTATAAATTTGTTTATGGTACAGTTATATCCCTGCAGCCAGAACAGTCGGTCCAGAACACTTCCGAGAACGACAGATTTACGGGTCACCAGGCGTACTCTCAGAGACGGAATTTTCCGGCTAACGGGAAGATCGTCTCGGAATTTTTCCAGAAAATTCTGACTCTGGGAACGATTTTTCCGAAAAAATTTCAATTCCGGCCATCGTAGAGTTCTCGGTTTGAGGGATTCCGGCTAATGGAGATATTACTCTACTTATCTTCACTACTAATGGTGCCACAGTCAGGGTTTATAAGTATATAAATACAGTGGGGTATGCTATAACGAACGAATTGGTTCCAGAACCTCGTTATAGCATCTCGTTATAGGATTAATCCGTTCCAGGCCCCCAAATACAACCACCTAACACTGAAAAAATTATGTGGAAAATGTAAAAAATACAGTACTTTATCTTACCTTAGTGTTATTCAGCATGCAGGTACCCCTAAACACTGGCACATCACTATCACTTCCACTGGGAGTCTTGGCTTTAAGGTCCTCAAACAATTGTCTGGCCTTCTCACAAATTATAGCTTCACTAATGTTACCACCTGCCATTTTTTCTCCTTTATCCACACTAAGAGTAAATTTTCCATCTCTTCAATCACATTACACTTTGCTTTGCTAAGTCTAAAGATTCCTTAGCCACTTGCACAGTTTTTAACTCCTTTTTATTCTTCAAATCGTACATAGTCGATTTAGTCATCCCATGTTCATCACTAAGTTTCGCAATGCTTCTTCCATTCTCACGTTTCTTTATAATTTCTTAGTTTCAAGGGTTATTAGCTTTCTCCTCGGCTTTGGACGAATCATTGTTACAATTATAGCATACTTGTATAACAAAATAGTTATACAAATAATGCAATTTCCACATCCAAAGACGAATTTCAACAATAACAGTGGTGCACTGGCTACACAATGAGACAAAGATGGCGCCTGACGCTTTTGTTGTGGGTCGCGGTACACAATATTCAGCGCCAGGCGAAATAGTCCGTATTCATCCGCTCGCTGTAGAGCTAGGCTCATTATAGCATTCTCATTTTAGAAAAACCGTTCAAGAGGAATATTTAGTAGGATCCGTTCATTATAGCATACCCCACTGTACTGTAAATCAGTAGTACAGTGACTGCTTAATCTAACGCCTGCTAATCTAACTGCCTTCCATAAGGATCTTCAATTCGTTAACGAACAAAATTGTTAATGAATTTCTACTAACCGACCTCAACATGTTTTCGCTTACTGACCGCAACCAGCTTTAGTATCAGTCCGAACAGTAATCGGCTAGGCTAAAATTCTTTACTATTTTAGTAAATATCAAGAAGTTTATACTATTCAATAATTTTAAAAGTTTAATATTAACTTTTGTCATTTTAACAATTATTGAACATAATTGAAGGTAAAGAAACTAGTTTCTGGCGTGCCATCCAGCCTCTTAACACACCAGACAGGCTAGTCTCTCTGTTTTCAGTGGAGGTAACATCTTGCTTGAGACTCTTCAACTAAACGCTTTTTTTCTGTTTCCAACCAAATTATTGGTCATTTTGAAATATATTTTACATATTGACAATATATAATTAGTGTTGATTTAAAGAAAATAATCTTGAAATACACCAAGAGAACTAAAATTTTATGGGTGAAATGGCACCATGGGTGACCTCTTCCACCCAATGCCTTCTTCTTCCTTCTCCTCCACCCCATTCTAATTCCCATCATCATCATCATCATCCAGGAGCCTTCTACATACACACCTCAAAGTAAGTGAACTTTTCTACCATTTTTGTTGAATTTAGGAAATTTTCGGTGAGCTGGAACCAATTACCTAAAAACCCATTGAAACGATGGTTTTGGTTAACAAACGACCTTCTGGAACGGATTGAGTTCGTTAACCGAGGGGTCACTGTACTTATATTTACTTACAATACTTATGTACTACTTCACATGGGATCCAATTATCCTGTAAAAAATTTAAATCTTGACCAAACTTTTAAATTACCATCTCAGGTGTTAAATTACCATAAGATTCTCACCTCGGGCATTAAATCCTCATATCAGGTATAAAAATTCCCACATTAGGTTTCCATCCTAGGTCTCAAATTCCCATATCAGCCATTAAATTCCATAAATTCCATCCCAGGTGTAAAAAAATTTTCATGTGACGCGTAAACAATTCTTCTTCAGGTCGGCATCAATGTCCCCATACCAGTTCCTCTGCCAATGTTTTCGTTCACGGGTCGAGGCTCGTTCCTGGGCGATGCTAACTTCTACGGAAAGGCGGTAAGTCAGGCTGTTGTTGTTGACGCCTTGGATGCATTTGTCATAGATCGATGCATTTGTAATATTCAGCTCAGAGGTGACCCCATACACAAGGTGTTAGTAGACTATACTACTAACACCTTCACTACAGGGACGACACTTTTTAATATAGTTGTAGAGTGACCCCATACACAAGGTGTTAGTAGGCTATCACCACTAACACCTTCACACTGGGGAGGACACTTTTTAATATATGGTTAACAACAGAGGTGACCCCATACATAAGGTGTGAGTAGACTATCACCACTAACATCTTCACTACAGGGACGACACTTTTAATATTTGGTTAACAACAGAGGTGACCCCATACATAAGGTGTTAGTAGACTATCACCACTAACATCTTCACTACAGGAACGACACTTTTAATATTTGGTTAACAACAGAGGTGACCCCATACACAAGGTGTTAGTAGACTATCACCACTAACACCTTCACTACAGGGACGACACTTTTAATATTTGGTTAACAACAGAGGTGACCCCATACACAAGGTGTTAGTAAACTATCACCACTAACACCTTCACTACAGGGATGACACTTTTAATATTTGGTTAACAACAGAGGTGACCCCATACACAAGGTGTTAGTAGACTATCACCACTAACACCTTCACTACAGGGATGACTTGTAATATTTGGTTAACAACAGAGGTGACCCCATACACAAGGTGTTAGTAGACTATCACCACTAACACCTTCACTACAGGGATGACTTGTAATATTTGGTTAACAACAGAGGTGACCCCATACACAAGGTGCTAGTAGACTTTATCACCACTAACACCTCTTCACTACAGGGACTACACTTTTAATATTTGGTTAACAACAGAGGTGACCCCATACATAAGGTGTTAGTAGACTATCATCACTAACACCTTCACTACAGGGACGACACTTTTAATAATTGGTTAACAACAGAGGTGACCCCATACACAAGGTGTTAGTAGACTATCACCACTAACACCTTCACTACAGGGACGACACTTTTAATAATTGGTTAACAACAGAGGTGACCCCATACACAAGGTGTTAGTAGACTATCACCACTAACACCTTCACTACAGGGACGACACTTTTAATATTTGGTTAACAACAGAGGTGACCCCATACATAAGGTGTTAGTAGACTATCACCACTAACACCTTCACTACAGGGACGACACTTTTAATATATGGTTAACAACAGAGGTGACCCCATACATAAGGTGTTGGTAGACTATCACCACTAACACCTTCACTACAGGGACGACACTTTTAATATATGGTTAACAACAGAGGTGACCCCATACATAAGGTGTTAGTAGACTATCACCACTAACACCTTCATTACAGGGACGACACTTTTAATATTTGGTGAACAACAGAGGTGACCCCATACACAAAATATAATTCTCAAAGTATATTTTTGTTAAAGTAATATTTTGTATAATGTAAAAAATTACTTTTATGATTTTTAAAAGTAATAATTTTTTCCTCAGGGCATCAACTTCTACACACAGCTGAAGACAGTGACTCAGATGTGGAGGGAGGCCGACGTCACACCCACACAGTCCGCTACCGCCATGCCTGTGATGCGCTGAATAACGACGCATCACAACAGCCACACAGTCTAATACGACCCTAGTAGAGATGCGCTGACAGCAAGAACACGCCATTTTACCCACACCAGAGACGTGATGACAGTACCAACACACCATGACACACCACACACACACAGCACAGTTCCTACACAGTCACACCATAGCCTTAAGTCACAACTACTACCGTGAATCTTGCCGACTGTGAGAACCTAGAGAGTAGGGTCTTATATTGAACACCAATGAACTTATTTAATTAATTGGTTTTTACACTTAAGTTGTTCAAAATCTTTAGTTCAATACTTTAGTTACATTCCATTTGTGTTATTAAAGAAAAGTTATGGAATATTTTGTTTCTAAATTGTAAAAAACAAAATTAAAATTACTTAATTTATGAAGATGTAAAATTACTCCCAAAATATGGCCTTAAATTTTAGGTTCTATGTAAAATAAGGCCATAATTTTAGGTATTTAAGTTAGTCCCAATATTACAGTCCCTTCCTCTACCTTGAGCAAATATAATTACAATTATAATCCCTTTAAACTAATGCAATACAGGTCATTTTGTAGTTTAAATACAGGTCATTTTGTAGTTTAATTACAGGTCATTTTGTAGTTTAATTGCAGGTTATTATGTAGCCTAAGTACAGGTATTTTGTAGGTCTAAGTACAGGTCTTTTTGTAGGTCTAAGTACAGGTCATTTTGTAGTCTAAATACGTGTGTCAGACCCTATTGAAGTTAATTATGTAGATGAACAAATATATGGTATTTTTAACTACTGACCTAAGATATAAATTATACAAAACTTACACTAGTTTCTTGAAGTATGAAATGGTTGGTTAATAAATTTAAAAGAAAAGATTGTTTAACTGAATCTCCGGTACATATGACTGTTTAGATTTGTTTCATGGTTTCGGGTGGTCAAGCCCTCTGTGTAAAGTGACCGGCCCCTGTGTATAATGCACCAAGGGGTATGATAGTTGTTATGTTGTTTGTCAATTTATTATCTGTTCGTCAAGATCTTATGGTGGTTTGTCATTCTCCAATTGTTACATTCTCAAACTATATGCAGACTGTCGGTTTATTGTTCAGGTCCGTCAATTTCATAACTTATGTCAATCACTTCTGTTAGCATGAACGAACAGTTATTTTAGAATGTCATTCGAAGTGTGTTCTGTCATTTGGTTATGAAATATGACAAATAGTTATATTACAACGTCTCAACGTATATGTGAAAAGGTGTTCACAACTCTCACTCAGAAAAAGTTTGCCCTCACAGTTTTCTGGACTTCCGGCTTCTTCAACCTTGAGCTGTGACCCCTTGTGGGGAGAGCGTCCACCAGCTCCAGGTAAGGACACTCAACTCAGTAGTGCCCCCTGAGATGCTTATACACCTCTATTAGGTCGCCCCTTGCCCGTCTGTAGTATAAGCTAGGCAAGTTCAGGCGCTCCAATCTCTCAGGGTAATTGAGGTGCCAAAGGGCAGGCACCAGTCTGGTGGCCCTCCTTTGAACATTTTCAACCAAGACCAGACTTGACCAACACTGGAGCAGGTTCAGGTACATTCAGGAGCCAGTACTTGTCAACAGTGTGTAACAGAGAGCCAGTACATGCCCAGTATTTACCAACAGTGTGTAACAGAGAGCCAGTACATGCCCAGTACTTGCCAACAGTGTAACAGAGAGCCAGTACATGCCCAGTACTTACCAACAGTGTAACAGAGAGCCAGTACATGCCCAGTACTTACCAACAGTGTAACAGAGAGCCAGTACATGCCCAGTACTTACCAACAGTTTGTAAAAGAGAGCCAGTACTTATACAGTAGACGTCATATTGTATTCAAGGCCTAATCAATGTGGGCTAGCAGCAAATTTTGGACAGACAGCAAGAATGTCCTCTAGCACTACTGATTCAATGTAATAAATAAAAAGTTGATGATACAATAAGCCAGGTGGCCTGATAGTGTCTCATTCAATAATATAGTGTTCAAGTGTTATGCTTTAAAGGTTTATCACAAAGTTTACATGCTGAGTGTTCCGGTATGGGTACAGCGTTATTAACCTGCCAGATGGGTCTGTATCTTAGCCTGGCCACGACTACATCACATTGTCTGGTTCTGTCCTTATGTTGGCCATACCGGTACGTCTCGTCACAAAATGTGTCATATTTACCCCTGCTACAACTATCAGGTCTCTCTGTATTTCTCAGTTCTTCTGGGTCAGAGTTCATGATTTGTGTAATGCCCATGAGGGGGCTAGTTTATTGGGCACCCCTTTACATCTTGTGCAAGGTGAAGTGTTTACAGCGCCCAACTAGGAAGCATGAGGAGTTCATGCGTGCCTTTATGACTCATGTATTAAGGGCGTAAAAGCCTGAAGGGTCATGGGATTTGTGTAGGCGGTGTGTGCGTGTGTGTGTGACCGTGACCCCTGAGCTGTGGTGGACTATGTGTAAAGTCGACTGTCCCCCCCCATGGGCCTTGGCCGAAGCATAACCCCCCCCACCTCCCCTCCCCTCCCCCACCTCCCCCCCCTCCCCTCCCTCCCTCCCTCCCTCAGCCAAGTCATTCACTAGACGCGCCGTCTCCATTCACTAAATTCCCTCCTTCTTTATTGCTGCTACTTGTTACTGCTGTTACTTGTTTGTGTTACTTGTTGCTGCTGTTACTTGTTGCTGTTACTAGTTGCTACTGTTTCTTCTTATTACTGTTACTTGTTGCTGCTATTAATTGTTACTGCGTTACTTGTTGTTGGGATACTTGTTGCTGCTGTTATTTGACGCTGCTGCTACTTGTTGTTGTGTTACTTCTTGTTGTGTTACTTGTTGCTGCTGTTACTTGTTGTAACTGTTACATAATGCTAATACTAATTCATAATGCTAATACTATTCATTGCATTTATTTACCTGTAGTGTTATTGGTTTCATCAGGTAGCTCAATGGATGTCTTATTTGACTGTCCGTGTGTGTGTGTGTGTGTGTGTGTGTGTGTGTGTCAGGACCCTTCTGGATACTGGCAGAGGTATAACATCAACATAGCAGCCATTAGTGAGTCCCGGCTCCCAGATGAGGGCCAACTCACAGAACGGAGGTCTGGCTACACCTTCTTCTGGAAGGGTAAGTCTGCTGCGGAGAGAAACAGCATTTATGGAGTTGGCTTTGCCATCTGCCAACACATCCTACACGGGCTAACTGAAATGCCTAGTGGGATCAGCGAGCGCTTCATGACGCTCCGAGTCCCACTGAATCACTCACGTCACAAGGTTGTGCTCCTTGGTGACTTCAATGCCAGTGTTGGCAGAGATGCTGACATCTGCGATCGATTCCACCGGTCCCGTATCGGCCTCTTTAGTCACCTCAGAACTCACCAACGAAGGTGACATCCTTAATAACTAGTATCATTGTATCATAGTTGGATGATACTCGATTACCAGTGACAGCAAAGAAGTAGTGTGTGTGTGTGTTGTGTTCTCAAAGTTTGTGTTGTTGTCAAAGTATACATGGTATGTTGTCATTGTATATATGTTTTCAAAGTATATGTGTTGTGCTGTCAAAGTTTATATGTTGTGGTGTCAACGTAAGAGAAATGTGGCAGAAAGTCGGATCATCAACCTGAGACGTGGTCACATATGCTTCCAATATCTTCCCAGGCGGTAGTACCTCCCTGTTTGATAGCTGCCTGCTACCTACAGCAACAAGTAACAGCAGCAACAAGGAACCCGTTATAGTACATCCTTCTTTCTTCACACAGCCTAAGTGTGGAATGCTCTGCCTTCTTCTGTGTTTCCATACTCATACAATCGTTGTGGATCGAGGACTTGAGCCCTGCGTTAAGAGCCGCACTGTCCGCTCTCACGTTTACCAGGATGGTAAATCATCTGTGTAACAGCTAGGATGGTAAATCATCTGTGTAACAGCTAGTGTAGCTGGGGCTATAATCGCCTTTCATAGCTCTCTTTTTATCGTCCTCAAGAAGTTAGCGTTTAGCTTGCCTCACAGCATTCATCCCACTGCCTAAGGACGGCCGGTTCTGTGGCTCATAATTCTGGCCCTGTTTTACCCACTTCTTGAAGACCTCTGGGTATTATTTACAGCATGGGCGTATCCTTTCGGCCGTGCGCGCTAAATTAAACACCTCGGACGCCTCAGAACATGGTTTGCAGTGGAGTAATTCTGGAGCCATGTTGGGGCGCCGACGGGTGGCTAATGGTCCTTGGTCTGCATAAACCCGCTTTCCAATAAGCGTACTGCAGCCTAAATCTATTAACGTAGCTACAGGCTCATTCGTGCGTATCCTCTTCACACAAATGTTTCTTAAATTAATATCATTATGGCAATATTTACGCTTTAACATTCTGCTCGTCGTTGTCATAACTTGCTCCATTATGTGAGTTGATCTTCTCAATGTCAGCTGTTTCCGGTTGACCACACGCGAAAGACTGCGGCCAGCATAATAGGAGACCAAAATTTTTTTTTCCACACAAACTCCGTACATCTTCTATATGCCCTCGTCTTGGTTGGCCCACAGTGCCTTCAACTCACTAAAATAATCTCCATAATTACAGATGAAAATTTTCATTACCAGAGTTAACTTTTTGTAATTAATTAACGTACAACTTCCATAAGCACCGGCCCCAAGCTTGTTAAATTGCTTCTCGTCCCAAGTGCCATCTAATTCGCTCCAGGGTAACTCTTTGATACCTTACTTATTGACCCAACGCTTGATAACTCTCTGTCCTACAGAAGACATTATTACAAGTATTTAATAACTCACAAACATGATGACCGACTCGTGGTAAAAATACTGGTTAACTTATTAATTAAAAATAGGTAGGAACTGTGTGTATTGTGTAGTGAAGTAACTGTATTGTGTGGTGAAGTAACTGTATTGTGTAGTGAAGGTAACTGTATTGTGTAGTGAAGGTAACTGTATTGTGTAGTGAAGTAACTGTATTGTGTAGTGAAGGTAACTGTATTGTGTAGTGAAGGTAACTGTATTGTGTAGTGAAGGTAACTGTATTGTGTGGTGAAGTAACTGTATTGTGTGGTGAAGTAACTGTATTGTGTAGTGAAGGTAACTGTAACTGTATTGTAACTGTATTGTAGTGAAGTAACTGTGTATTTGTAGTGAAGTAACTAACTGTATTGAAGTGAAGTGTATTGTGTGTGTAGTGAACTAACTGTATTGTGTAGTGAAGTAACTGTATTGTGTAGTAAATGTATTGTGTAGTGAAGTAACTGTATTGTAGTGAAGTAACTGTATTGTGTAGTGAAGTAACTGTATTATGTAGTGAAGTAATTGTATTGTGTAGAGAAGTAACTGTATTGTGTAGTGAAGTAACTGTATTGTGTAGTGAAGTAACTGTATTGTGTAGTGAAGTAACTGTATTGTGTAGTGAAGTAACTGTATTGTAGTGAAGGTAACTGTATTGTGTAGTGAAGTAACTGTATTGTGTAGTGAAGGTAACTATTGTGTAGTGAAGGTAACTATATTGTGTAGTGAAGTAACTGTATTGTGTAGTGAAGTAACTGTATTGTGTGGTGAAGTAACTGTATTGTGTAGAGAAGTAACTGTATTGTGTAGAGAACTGTATTGTATAGTGAAGTAACTGTATTGTGTAGTGAAGTAACTCTATTGTGTAGAGAAGTAACTGTATTGTGTAGAGAACTGTATTGTGTAGTGAAGTAACTGTATTGTGTAGTGAAGGTAACTGTATTATGTAGTGAAGTAACTGTATTGTGTAGTGAAGTAACTGTATTGTGTAGTGAAGTAACTGTATTGTGTAGTGAAGGAAACTGTATTGTGTAGTGAAGTAATTGTACTGTGTAGTGAAGGTAACTATTGTGTAGTGAAGGTAACTA